TGGAGGATTCGCTTTAGATGATTGCCAGATTAGGTCTTGAGAAGAATCGGTAGGGAAAAAGTTGACTCAATAAAATGTATATGAATATATATGTTTTTTTCCTCCGAAATTCCTAAGGCATCTTCTATTGACCATATCTGGAAATTTATAAGAGCAATGGCGTCACACCTTAAATTAGTTTCCAAACTTCATACAATTCCCACGGCGCCCGAATTCTTTAGGGTAGCCACTGTCTAAAAAAAGGAGAGCCCCGTTTAATTTAATCTATTTAAAGTTTTTGTAGCATTTATTGATTTAGATGATTTTATAAAAAAGATTTAAGAAGATGTGAATTATATTTACCAAAAAGGAACCGTATGTTTTACAAGAGCTTGGCGAAAGCTAGTGGTTTCACTCATTACTCATGAGCAAACCAATTTTGACAACAAAAAATTTGCAAGAAAAATTTGATATGAAATTTTTTACACGTTGCGGAATTTTTTTGGCGGAAAAAAGTAAATTTGGTGGAAAATTATTACGTTTTATTTATTTATTTTAATTAAATAAATAATTAAAATTTCAGGTTTCATTAAAGTTTAAGGTGATATTTGTAGAACTTTGCAAATGTGATGCTATTTAAAAAGAAAACATATTTTTAAAGCTATTTTTGTCAGTTACCTTATTTATTTATTTTTCTTCCTAATGCTTTTTTTTTTGTTTTTTTGGTTAAAATCGAAAGCGTACTCATCATCCAATTCTTTTGACTCCGTCCTAGGGTTTTGACAATTGAAGAATTTTAGGGCTTGTCCGTTCCTCTGTTTTATTATTCTCTGCCTCTGCCGTTGGTTGATGCTGTTCTTCTGTGTCGGTAAGACAAAACTCAATTAACCTAAGGTGAGAGTCTTTGTTTAAGATATGGACAAGATCACTGGATTTTCTGATGATGAATTGCTCGTAAAGATCTTATCATTTCTTTCAACAAAAGCTGCTGTTAGAACAAGTATTTTGTCGAAGCAGTGGAAGTTTCTTTGGAGGCGGATACCAAAACTTGAGTTTCACGATGACATTAAAAACTATATACTCTCCATGAGGGGTGAGAGTAGAACCGATTCTTTACTGTTAGAAGGAAGCCAGAGGATGTGGCGTTTTATTGACATGAATCTGCCATTACATTGCTCTCCCGTAATAGAGAGCTTGAGTCTTACGTTATACAATGAACTATTTCAACCTGAAGATATTATATTGTGGGTTGAAATTGCAGTTTCTCGTTGTGCTCAAGAGCTAAGCGTTAGCTATTCTCCTTACAAGGGAAAACGTGATGCATTACTGCCGACTAGCTTGTATACTTGCAAATCACTCGTGACATTGAAACTAAGAGACAACATTCTCGTGGATGTTCCTCATGTTTTTTGCCTCCCCTCCTTGAAAACTTTGCACCTTGTACGTATGACATACGCAGATGAAGAATCTCTTCAACGGCTTTTGTCTAATTGCTTTGTTTTGGAAGATCTGGTTGTGGAACGACGTGTAGGTGACAATGTGAGAAATGTTTCTGTTATCATCCCATCATTGCTTAGTTTATCTTTTGAGATTTTGGGTCAATGTTCTTCGGAAGGGTATGTGATACATACTCCTTCTTTGAAGAATTTCAAAGCTAAAGATTTTGGTAAGTGTTCCACATGTTTGATATTGAATATGCCTAAGCTGGAGGAGGCATATATCGCCACTGCTGGTCGCAATATCAAGAAGCTTCTTGAATCTTTCACATATGTCAAGCGTCTTTCATTGTTCATACTAAACAACAATGCAGAGGTGATTTGAAGAATCTTCAATTTCTTCAATCTCACTATATCTCTTAATTAGATTACTAAACCGTCCTTTGTACAGGCTTTCACTGCTGTATATGGTGGTGACGATGTTGTCTTTAATCAGCTTGAGAATCTGAAGTTTATCATCCGTAGCGCATATTGGTCCAAGTTACTATACTGGTTGCTCATAGCTTCTCCCAAACTTCGAAACTTGGAGTTCAATGTAAGTCATTTCTTCGATAGAGTAATTCAATGTATCATGGGGCTTTTCATCTAACTCTTATTTTTAATTCCAAGGAACCAATTTCACGTGGATGGTATAATACACTGGTTTTCTGGGAGCAACTGATACTTGTGTTCCTCAATGTTTGTGGTCGAGTCTCCAAACTTTGAAGTGGTTAGGTAACCATGATTCCATAGAAGGGAAAGCTCTGGCGACATATATTTTGAGAGAGTCTTGCCAGTTAAAGACTGCAACAATTTCGATCGGACAAGGACAAAAGAAGCTTGAGATGGAGAGGGAGGTGAAATGTTGTTTCCGTGGTTCACCCACATGCAACCTCATATTCAGTTGAGGATTTAAATCATTACGTTTGAAAGAGATATATATATATATATATAAGACTGTAACAATCTTGCAAATGACATCTTAGGATTTGATCTATTAAAGTTTTTGTTGCATTTGATTTAATTTAGATGATTTTGTAGTGTTGATGTTTTATTCAAAAGCAACTTACTCCATTCCTGGAAATACTCAAAACTAAGAATCTCTTCGATTGCTTCTATGCTATTGCCCTGTTCTGGAAGATCTGACTAGTGAACGAGATGAGAATGACAATATGAGAGCGTTACTTGTTTCCCGTCCTTGCGGTGTAAGATTTACTTCTGATGAGTATGTGATAGTTACCCCTTCTTTAAAGTACTTCAAAATTGAGGATGAAAGAGAGGGTAACTCCTATCTGATTGGGCATATGCCAAAGCTAGAAGTGGCATATCATGATGTTCAGCAAGATCTCGAGAACCTCCTCAAATCGAGCACATGACTGGAACGACTTTCATTAGACATATAACAGAGCTGTAATGAAGAGGTATCATCATCCGTATATCAACTTTAAGTTTTCAATCGCATTATATTACTTAGTACACTAAATATATTATGTTGTCACATGTGTCGTATGTGTATTAATGCTAGTCTGCAATCAACATCTGGATGTACAGATATGCGACTAATAAAGGTCGAAGCAACGAGTCCAGCGACTTAACGGTTCTCCTAAACTCGCGAATCCCCAATCTCTACGTCAATGCAAGCTTATTCGTAGGCTCAATCATGAGTCTAAAAAGACCCTTATGGTGCAGTCTCAAGGG